CGAAGGTGGACAGGAGCGGGGCGTACATCGTGCGTCAGGCGGCGAAGAGCGTCGTGGCTGCGGGGCTCGCTCGCCGCTGCCTGGTGCAGGTCTCTTACGCCATCGGTGTCGCCGAGCCCCTGTCCGTCTTCGTGGACACGTACGGGAGCGGGAGGGTGTCCGAGCAGGAGATCCTGGACATAATCAAGGAGAACTTCGACTTCAGACCGGGAATGATCATTCAGGCTCTCGACTTGAATCGCGGAGGCAACAAGAGGTTCCAGAAGACGGCGGCGTACGGCCACTTCGGCCGCGACGACCCCGACTTCACCTGGGAGACCGTCAAGGTGCTCATGAGGGACGGGAAGCCCGTCAAGATTACCGCTGCTGCGTAATTTTGATTGATTGACTGAGGTCAAAATGCTCACGAGGAACGGAAGCCCGTCAAGATTATCCTTGATTTGCTGATTCGTCTGTTGTTGATTGAGTCGATGCGTCGTTGTTTATACGATTGATATGATCATATGATTGATTGATTTATTAAGTTGATTTACTGATTTATTTATTTCGCAATTTATTTATTTATTGATTGATTGATTAGTTAGTTTACATCAGGTCTGAAGCAAGTGTGTTTTGTACCTTCGTGAAAACATTGTCCGTTGCCTGTCATGCAACCGACCAGATGGTCGAATTAAAAAAAAATAAACATGTCGGTTTATTTCGAGGATAGCTGCTTTCACGACGTTTTCTTCGCGAGCTACATTGTCCTGATAGGCGTTAATTTCGTTTGTTATTGATTTATTTCTTGATGACATGCTCTTCTTTCTCGGCTGATATTCATTTCGTCTCCAGTTTGTGTCGCTATATCTTTTGTTTTTCCCCCCCTTCAAATCTCTCTGCACTTCATGCTAAGCATGTCTTGCCGCAATTCCTTGTTGTCATGATTGCCCGTCCAAACTGTCTGTATCTCTCTCTCTCTCTCTCTCTCTCTCTCTCTCTCTCTCTCTCTCTCTCTCTCTCTCTCTCGTTCTCCCCTTCTCTCCGGCGATCTCTCTCTCTCTCTCTTTTTCCCTTAATCTCTCTCCTGCGAGATCTCTCTCGTTTTTTACTTTGTCAATCTCTCCTGCGCGAGTTTGTTTTCTGTTATTTGTCTTGTGTGTGTGTGTGTGTGTGTGTGTGTGTGTGTGTATCCGTTTCGAGAGGTAATTTGAAATTTGAAATTTGCTCTAATCGAGTCTTTTGAAATTTGAAAATGTCTTTTGAAAATTGAAAATGTCTCTGATCGAGTCTTATGACGATGGAGTTTGAAATGTGCCGTTAGTCGTTTTGTCACATTTTTGTTTCCTAGGGAACTCTATTTTGCATGTTTGAAAAAGGCGTGCAAGCCTTCCACGACGAAAATGTGGTCGTATCTTTTCTCCTCTGCTAGTTTGTCATTCGTTGCTTTGGGTTTCTATTTACTCTGCATCTGTATCCGAAGGTGACAGACACACACACACACACACACACACACACACACACACACACACACACACACACA